GCACACACCTTTTTTTTTTGTTCCCCACCCGAAGGCTCTCATCTCTTCTTTTTTTTTCTATTTTTGCTCTCTCCCTCTTTTTCTCATATTTGCCGCCTGCATGAGTTTTATTTCGTTTTTTTTTTGTCATTCTTCTCTTTTTTGCGTGGCTGCCACCTCACCCGTCGGACCGCAGCCCATGGCGGCGCAGGAAAAATATAACGAGCGCAAACACCCCCTCCACACCAAAGAAGTACCCACCACACTCCGCCAAGACAATACGTGTGGAGTGGAGAGCGTAGATGAGTCCCGCAGCTTCGCATGGTCTTAAGAGCCTCAGGCGGGTCCCGCCGAAGCAAACACATGCCGCAACTGCCGTTATGGTTGTGGGCCGCACACCACATCTGCCGCAGTGTACCGCCATCACTGCTGGAGTGCAGTTGCTCTTTCGCCTTGTATGCGTTGCTGTCCCGCTTTTGCTCACTGACGCCAAAACAAGATCCGCGACTCATACGGTGCCACGAAGCGTTCAAAAGATTGCCTGCCAACCTGCAGGTCAGGCAAGCCCATCAAAGTCAGCGCCAGAACGCAGCCGCAGCCGGCGTAAAAGAAAAGATTCGACACAGCGTACCACACCCCACACCTCTCCTGTCGCTGTCGCAGTGAGACGACACCAAAAAACAATGCAAACCACACCGCGAAAAGGAGGAGGGCAAACGTCCAAGGGATCGCAATGTGACTTGGCATGGGTTGCAAAAAGTAACCACCTTCCATGGCCAACTTGGCAATCCAAATCGTCTCAAGCAACAGTGCAGATATCGACACCCACGCCGTTGCGCCCATCCGCGCCGTCTTGGTGTTCTCAGCGCTAATGTAGGTGTAAATTTCGCGTATTCCCGGCATCGCCATGAGGCTCCAAAGCGCAAGCCGCAGTGTGACAAGATGGTACTTTGGTGACATATGCAGAATGTGCTTCATCGTAAAGCAGTTCAACTCCTCCAGAAGCATAAACATCAATACCATGAGAAACTGCACAAACCTTTTTGGGTCATGAAACACATTCCATTCGTAGGCTTCAAAGCTGCGAGGGCCAAACTGGCCGAGAATGCGCTGCGTCTTTCCCTTGTACCCCTTGATGTTCTGCAGCGCGACCCAGTGGTACTTCTTTGCTTGCAGTCGACGCAGCATAAACATCCCCAGCAACGTCCCCCCACCGTTGCAGAGAAGCACGTCCAGCAGCAGATGGTCCCACCAACACTCCCTGAAGTTTGGCAGCACATGTTGAAAGGAAATTTCAAGGATCTCAAATCCAATGGACACACACGTTGCGAGACGCCAATCGCGAAGAATCAGTGTTTTCACAAAGTAGCCAAGGGCATGAGCAATAATAAAGACGTCAAAGGCCGTGTAAAAAAACAAATAAGGCTCACTTGGGGTGGAAATGCGGCAGTCTACCGCATACTGACCCTCCGGCAGTGCCTTCAGCAGCAAAGGGTCGTAGAAGCCCATAATGGCACGCACTGTTGACAAGTTCTGAAACAGCAAAAACGACAACAGGACTACATATAATACGGCGAGGGCCAAGACAGCGCGCCACACAGATGGATGTGGCCGCACCAGCTCAGAGTCTGGCAAATGAATAACTCCAAAGACCACAAAGGAAAATGCAGACGCCGCCAATCCAAGTTTCACACTGGCCACAATACTCATATCGGGGTAGTAGTAGTAGCGGATCATAAGAAGAACAAAGACTATAAACACAACCAATGCCGTGAGAGTGTGGGGACTGTACACAACGTCGGTAAAATCAAGTTCCTTAAGGTAAGGACGCGGTGGCCTGGGTTCCATACTGTTATCCGCCTTTGTGACTTGCCGTACTGACGCCACTTTCCTCGCTCCACCCCCAGACTGGTTACCACCGTCTTTCGCTTTGGCATCCTTCGGTGAGTTGACCTCGCCCTTCTGTTTGTTGGAGGAATTCCCGTTGGGGCTCCAACAACTTTCTCTACTCATCGCTAGAAATACACCGGTCACGCACTCCCTCTCCTCCCTTACCGTTATCTTTAACTATATTTACTGTGTTAGGTGAAAGTTATATGTATCGTGTGTCACCGTTCACTCTCCGCCTAATATGTTTGTATGCGGGGGTCTCTCCTTATGCGATGCGTCTGTGCGGCGTTCCCTGCCGCTTTATTGGTTTGCCTTGTGTTTCTTATTCCACTCCTCACCGGGTCCACAGGCGAAGAGGTGCAGGGGGCATGGACTGACACGTCACAGTGGAAGGAGAACGAAACACAACGACAGGAGGATTCCACACACCTACAACAACAGTAATATTAATAATAAAGATGAGCATATATATATATATATATATATCCTACGCACCTGCAAATGATGGTGTCAAACGAAGTGAATCCCGGAGTTCACCGTACTTCTGATAACTCCCTACTTTTCCCCCTACCTCTTCCCCCAGCCCATATACACACACACACAACTTGCTTTTTCTCCATATGTTCACTTTTTATTTGTTTTGGATTGATTGTTTTTGTTTTTGTTTTTTTGTTTGTTCGCTTCCTGTTTGCAGCCCCACCACAGCTATCATTCACAATCCCGATTTTTACCACCACTCTCGCATTTCGGCGGTAGATTGACGCAGACGGGGATGTGTTTGAGGAGTGATGTTGCCCGTAGCCCTCGTTCGCCCCCCTGGACCTCGGCTGCGAGGTCCCCCGCAGTGCCGTGGACAAGACACCCCACACACGCCGCATACCACTCAGAAAACTTCTGCGCCAGCAGTCCCGCAATGACGCCCGTCAACACATCTCCGAAGCCTCCGGTGGCCATACCACTGTTCCCCGCATCCACCAAAACATAGCGCATGGAAAGCAGACTATGTGCGGTAGTCAATGGAGCAAAAGCAGGGTCAATGCCCTCGTCGGTGTACAGGACGGTGCCGGGTCCTTTCAGCACAGCGGGATCAATGCCTTCAGCGGTGTACAGGACGGTGCCGGGTCCTTTCAGCAGCGCCACACCACCGTAAGTTTCAGCAAGCCGCTTTACTGCCTGAAATCGATCTTTTTCGACTTCATCAATGGTGCACTGCAGCAGCCGCGCAGCTTCCCCTGGGTGGGGTGTGATGATGCGGTTCGCAAGGGGTGTAGCAAAGGGATTCTCTCCCCCCTTCTGCAACTGCGCCGCCATAATGTTGAGTGCGTCCGCGTCCCACACCGACGGCTTCTCTGGATGTTGTTGACAATATGCTAAAACCTTTGCGAGGGCCTCGCAACCCCATTCACCCTGCCCCAGCCCCGGCCCCACCGCCACACACGTCGACCACTCCAGTCCCTTCTGAAGGTTAGCTTCTGTCAACTCCTCCACCATCACCTCCGGACAACGAGACAGAAGAGTCATGGCGTGCTGTGCTCGCGACAAAACGCGAATAAGGCCTGCGCCGGTGCATAGTCCCGCCTCAGCAGCCATCATAACCGCCCCACCAAATCCAATGTCACCACCAATGATAATCAACTTGCCATTCATGCCCTTGTGTGCACATGGGGATCGCGGGTGCATAATCCAATCCAAATGTAAACTCGACAGACGCCGGCAAAAGAGCTGCTCCTGACGCTCGCTTTCCAGGAACCAGCTCCCAAACGGCAGGTAAGAATAGTGCAACCTCCCAACGTAATCGCGTGCGCGACCCGTGAGGAGGCCTGGTTTTAACGCGATAAACGTGACTGTGGATTCTGCCCGTATGCACGGGCCCTCTACAGAGCCAGTTTCAGCGTTCAAACCAGACGGAATGTCAATGGCAACACGAGGAGCATTAAGGGTGTTCGCCCAGTCGATACAGCGTGCGTAAACACCACGCGGTGCCCCTGTGATTCCTATACCCAACAGCGCGTCCACCACCAAATCAAAACTTTCCGATACCGCAGCGTCGCTCCAATTCTCCACCTCGTAAATCGGAACATTGCCTTTCTTCACCAATTCAGCATATGCGGCGGTGGCCTCCGGAGGAAGTGGCTTTGTTCCCTTGATTGATAGCACCGTCACAAGAAAGCCGGCATCCGCGGCAATGCGGGCAATCGTATACCCGTCCCCACCATTATTTCCACCTCCGCATAAAATGAGCCAGCGCCGCAATGGGGAATACTCGCTGCGAATGGCAAAAAAGGCCGCGTGGGCGGCCCAGTTCATTACAGTATGGAGCGACACGTCCCACTCACGCGCTGCCTCCACCTCCATCTCACGGAGCCACGATGCACGCCACACACAGGTCTGCAGCAGTTTACCATAGTCCCCTGGCGCTACACATCGGGCAGGCAACCTGCTAAGCGGCAGCATTGTCCAAGTGGACGACAAAAAAAATTATAATAGTAGCAATAATAATAATACCGGAAGCTCAAACTATGTCAATAAATCACACGATTTGAGTGTTTTCTACGACGTTGCCAGCACAACAGCGTCAAGGAGCGAAAAATAAACGGGGGAAAAGAGAAACAGCAGGCAGGTCAAACAAATAAAACCAGTTGTACCGAGGAACCTGCGCAAATGAAAAAAAAAAAAATTACAACACTGACTAAACGCCAAGACAAACAAAAAAAAACGCACACACACACACACACAAACAAAAAAAAAAACGCCTGGTTCAAAAGCCAAGGCCTAGCGCCTCTTCTAAATCCGGATCATCATCCTCATTTACGGTGTCCTTTGCAGCATCAGCCGCAGTCTCAGTATTTGATTTCCCATTAAGCGTCCCAAAGGTGCCTGTCGCGGGTGCGGCAAAGGCCTCCTGAGCTGCCACTTTTGTCGCCGCACCTGCGTCAGTTTTTGCATCCTCGTCGTCACGAGGACGCTTCTCTCCAGCCACTGTGGAAAGGGCGTTATTGTCATCGTGGACCTTGGCCGCCGCTGTATCGGCATCCGACGCCGCCACCGATTCCTTGTAGCCGACTGCCGTCTTCACAAATGCTGGTATTTTTGAGATATCCTCCACAGTAATGACGGGAAGGCGCGTGACACCCTCTTTGTATTGCCGAAGCTGCCGTACAATACTGTGGAAGGCTCGAATGCTTGGGGCAAGATCAATTTTCCTTGTAGTTGCCTTCTGATCCACATGCATGCCAATAAAGTAATGGCAAGTAAACGCCCTTTGCACAGCGCCGCCCTCCACCGCCCCAGAACGTTGTTGAAAGAACAACTCCGTAGAGCTGTGACCCCCACCGCTGCTACGCGACCCCTTTTTTAGGAGACGAGCCCGCACCTCAGCCTCCTCAGGTACCTCATACCGCCGTGGATTCAGTTGGAGTCGAATGTGACGAACATTCTCCAGTGCCTGGCCTCGCGTCTCTGCCGTGCCAGCCCAAAGAAAGCGTATCTTCGACTCCACAGCGTCGATGTAGCCCTGATACGCCTCGGCGTCCGTGCACGAAACCTGGACATGCAGGTAGTACTTATATTCCCCAAAAAACTTGACAGGTTCTAGAAGCCTACTCCACACACCATATGGACCGAAGCATGACTTGGCCTCCTCAACGGAGGTGGCAAGACTGGAGCAGCAAATTTCATGCCCCCGGGCAAACTCGACACACAGCTGTCGAAGATTTGTCAGTGTCACATTAAAACACGCATTGCCGTACGGCACGGCAGGGGTGAGAACGGGGAAAAGCGCCATCGCATCGGACTTGGACTCGCGCGGGTCCCAGCTGCGGCCAAGGTTCGTTTTAACACGCATTGTCTCGGTTAAATAGATGGCTCTATTTTCCTTGCCAGTCTCGTACGGATTCGGCGAGAACCATGCGTGGTAGATGCGAAAGAAGCGGACCACAATACCTGCGGCGTTCTGATTCGGGTGGCACTGGCACACAAAGGCAACAAGAATGGCCCACCCAATACCACTGGGGAAGCCAAATGTATTGCTGTAAATTCCGCGTGCTTTTCCCCATGCCTTGATAAAGCGCAGGGCCTGACGAAAGGACGCCTTGTGTGGAACGAGGTCCATGATGTTGTGAGCCACACGCACCGCATTACAACTTAGCACAGACTGGTCATCAAGCCCTTGCAGCAGGTCGTCGGTGATCACTTCCGGCACGCGATCCTGTCGAATCGACCCAAAGGACAAATCAATGTCAATTCCGTCTGCTACCATCGCAATAAGAGGCACTCGGGCGTCTCGAATGCAGTGCAGCTCGGTAATACGCGATTCATGCTGTAGGCATGGGGCGAGTGTGTTAAAAAAGTGTTCACGAGTGATGCGGTTGGGAGCGATGAGGACGACGTCGATATCGCTGCCCGACGCATGGACGTTGTAGCGGTAGGAACCCGTGGCGAAGATGCGTCCCTCCACTTGTGCTGCCGCCTCCGCTGGCATACGAAACTCCGTGATCATGGTGGAGCGAATCCATGCACGCACAATGTTGTTGAGGTGCTCCAGCACCGAGCGCCGACTGTTGGCCTCCTCCTCCGGCTCAATCCCCGCCACGCACCAGTCAACAAGCGGCACGTTATGTTCCTCCTCTTTGGGCGAGGGGCCATCCGCGGAGATGACTTTCTTCGCCAAAAAGGACTTGTCTGCGATGGACATGGCAACCCGATCTCTCACCGCGTGCAGTTGTGCCGCGCCTGTGTGCAGCTTATTTTACCTTTTTTTCTTTTTATTTGTTTCTTCGTACGCGCCTATTTAATAAGAATAATAATAACAAAAAAAAAACTGTTACCACGAAAGCGAAAAAAGGCGGAAAAGAAGGTGAGCTCCAGTAAACCTCCTCGACGCGCCCCACACACCCCGTTGGCAGTGCCCCTGCCGCCAGCGTCGTATCTTCCCCGCCGTGTGTGTGTGTGTCTTAGACGGGTGGCTGCAAGCCGCAGTCCACATGGTGAGCAGAGACCGGCGCACTCCCACCACGGGAGTACTGCGGAAAAATAAATGAAACAAAAAAAAAGAGAGAGCAACGCCGAGGAAGAGAATGTGGAGAGGGGGGCGGGAGTAAAAAACGAGGGTGAAACAAGAGTAAACCTGCACCTTCAGCGGCAGCAGCAGCGAGAGGAGGAGGAGAAGCAACGCGACAAAAACAAAGGAAAGAAAGGATCAAAAAGCGTATCAATGAAAAAAAGATGCACGTGCAGCAATAGGCAGTAATACATGCGTGGAAAAGAAAAACAAGGAAAACAGAGAAGAAGTAGCGGGTCCCCTCGAAAATGTAATTTCATCCCATCCCATCCAGGGATGAAAGACACGCGTACGCAGTAGAAGATTTGTGTGTTTCCCTCTGTGTGTTCGGCTTCGTACGCATCGGCAAAAGAAGCCAACATTAATAAACAAACCCCACTCCACCACGTGGGGGGGGGAAGGCGGCATGCCAATACCTACGCTCCCTGACGCGCACCGTAGTCACCGTATTCTACACCTTCACCGTCTTGTCACGCGTGTGTTTCTTCTTCATGTCATTTGTTTTTTTCAATCTTTTCCTTTTCTTTCTTCCTTGTTTTGCCTTTACGTGTCATGCGTGCGTTCCCATCCACCCCCCCCCCCCCCCGCAACGTACAATGGAACACACGCCTTCCCGTACACACACACACACACACACAGAGAGAGAGAGAGAGAGAAACAATGAAACTGTATCAAAAACTCTCAACTCCTAATTCTTGTCCATCAGCACGTCAATGGGTGAGGGATCCAGAGCAATTCGTAGCAACTCCTGCGCAACGCTGCGATTCATGAGGGCCTCCTTTTCATCGTTCGCCGAACGTGTGGTGGATGCTGCCGTGACAACCGACTGCGGTGCTGTCGCCATGGCGAGGCGATCTAGTAGCGACTGCACCAGTTGCTGAAAAAAAGCGTTACAGTTGTTCCACGTGCACTGCAGGGTGCCTCGTCCCCGCACGGTGACGCCACTCGCGTCAACGTTCGTCACCTCCGGCACGTCCGTCTCTCGCGTCACAGACTCGGCAGGACGCAGGATACCGCACACCACGACGGGCTGCGGTCCAAGGGCGCCCTCAACCCCCATCATCACATCCGCCGCCTCCACAAGGGTAACTTTGCGGCACGGGTCGTAACAGAGACCTACCGCGTGGCAGTTAGAACAAATAAACCGCCGCAGCTCCTCAAATCGTGGTTCGCCCGACGTGTCGTAGATGTGAAGCATAACGTGCGCCGTCGCACTGCCCGTCAGGCGCACCATCTTCTCGTAGCGCACAAACCCCGTCGTCGGCAGCAGTTTCCCGCCACTCTCCTGCGACCCAACAAAGTGTCTCACCAAAAGTGTTTTTCCAACGCCCGCGGAGCCAATGATGGCAATCTTCAGAGGGCTAGAAAAAAGAGTGCGGGCAGCGGCGGAGAAGGAGGAGAGCCCGCGACATCGCGCCATCTCCTTTCGGCGAACAAAGTCCAGAAACTGAGTAAAGTTGTACCGCGCATGCAGCGAAATGACACGCTCTGAGGCGTCAGTCAAAAACGCGTTGCCAAAGTCGGTCCTAAACGTCTGCAGAGGTTCCTTCTGCCGCTGAAGAAAGCGCATGCGGAGCGAAAGTGTGGAACTCTGCTGCCTCATTGGGATCCTCAGCTGCATCTCCTCCTGTTGTCGCTGGGTCATATTATACTGGTACCAAATCACGTTGTCTCTCGACATGAAGTAAAAGTCAGCGGACACACGCGAGGCCTCCAGCAGGTCATGCATGCTCAAGTACGAGAGCACCCTGACAAGAAGCGACCACTGACACATTTTTAGTTCGCCACGGCACCTCCGCCGCACCTCTCCACTCCCATCACGACGCGGCACAACAAGCTGGATTTCGTAGTAGCACGCAGAGCAAATACGATGCGTCGTGGGTGATGCCCCTAGCAATGGTGAAGGAGGTCGGGAATAAGACTGGCACAGGCGGAAAGAGCCCGAACTGCTGGGGTCCCCTCCCGCAGGTGTGTCACCGGCGAGATTCAGCCCAGCTAGGGGGGACGCAGTGAACTCCACACCCTCCGTCCAAGAGGAGGTGCGATACGCGCGCGGGGTACTGTGGTGATTGCGGAGCGTGATGGCGTGCGAACAACACGCTGCACAGAAGAGGCGCCCACAGAGACGGCAGTGATGCTTCCTGTTAAACAGTGAGAAGGAAACGTCACATCCGTGCCCCATGCACGTCACCACCTGCGCGTCAGGCACCCAGCATTCCTCTGGACACAAACGGACTAGAGACGGGTCCAACGTCGGCTTCACTAGCAAACAACTGTTTGAGGAGCTACCGCTGTTGCTGTTACCGTTACTACTACCAGTGGAGCCTCCCAACAAATTTGCCGTCAACGATGGCCGAGGCGTCGGAAGGATACCGCCATTATAAGCAGTGATGTTGTTGTTAATGTTGCTAGCGTATGGTATTAATACCCGCAGAATTGTTGGTAAAGGTGCGGATCCCATGTCTCGTGTTCCAGTGACATCGACGTGCTTCATCTTTCTCCTTTGCTGCTCTTGTGTTGCGTGGGGTCCTGCCCTTCTATGGAGTAGAGCCGG